ATGATGGGGCACTATTCCTCCCACTGACACCAATGATGGGGCAATTCCCCCCACTGACACCAATGATGGGGCACTATTCCTCCCACTGACACCAATGATGGGGCACTATTCCTCCCACTGACTATTCCTCCCACTGCACCAATGATGGGGCACTATTCCCCCCACTGACACCAATGATGGGGCACTATTCCTCCCACTGACGCCAATGATTGGGCACTATTCCCCCACTGACGCCAATGATTGGGCACTATTCCTCCCACTGACGCCAATGATTGTACAATTCCTCCCACTGATGGGGGCACTATTCCCCCACTGACACCAATGATGGGGCACTATTCCTCCCACTGACACCAATGATGGGGCACTATTCCTCCCACTGACACCAATGATGGGGCACTATTCCTCCCACTGACACCAATGATGGGGCACTATTCCCCCCACTGACACCAATGATGGGGCACTATTCCTCCCACTGACACCAATGATGGGGCACTATTCCCCCCACTGACACCAATGATGGGGCACTATTCCTCCCACTGACACCAATGATGGGGCACTATTCCTCCCACTGACACCAATGATGGGGCACTATTCCCCCCACTGACACCAATGATGGGGCACTATTCCTCCCACTGACACCAATGATGGGGCCAATGATGGGGCACTATTCCTCCCACTGACACCAATGATGGAGCACTATTCCTCCCACTGATACCAATGATGGGGCACTATTCCTCCCACTGATACCAACGATGGGGCACTATTCATCCCACTGACATCAGTGATGGGGCGCTAGTCCTCCCACTGCAAAATTACAGTTATGAAGTAGCAACGAAAATAATTTTATGGTTGGGGGTCACCACAACATGAGGAACTGTATTAAGGAGTCGCGCATTAGAAAGGTTGAGAACCACTGCTGCTCTAGGACATCTGACAGTGTTCCTTGCATGTTGGGCCTCTCTTTGTATCTAGGCTGTAAAAAAGTTTCACACATGTGGTATCCCCATACTCAGGAAGAGTAGCAGAATGTGTTTTTGGGGTGTAGTTGCAAGTATGTTGTGTGAGAGAAATAACTTTGTACTATGACAATTTTGTGGAACACAAAAAAAAAAAAAAAAAAGAAGAAAATCTTCATTTTCAATAGACTTGTGGGAAAAAATTACAACTTCAAAAAAAAAAACTCACTAAGCCTTGGACTGTCTACTTTCCAAAAAAGGGGTCATTTGGGGGGTAACTGTACTGTCCTGACATGTTAGTGTCTCAAAAAATGAAATATGCAGGCCATACATGGTTCGAATTCCGAACGGTTTTCGTATGAAAATCGGAAGAATAATCGGTCGATTTTCGCTCTGTTAGTGGGGAAATGGCCGATTTTTGTGGTTCCTCCCCATTTCGTTTATCGGGCATGCTGAGAAATATGTGAAAAACGATCGATTTTCGAAATCATTGGTGGCACCATCGGATTACAGAACGAACGACGTATCGCTTTTTGGACAAAACATCGTTCGGAATTCGAACCATGTATGGCCTGCAATAGGCCCTCAGTATATCAGGTGTGATCAATTTTCAATGATTCATACCATCTCCTAGATTGTAAGCTCCAAGGAGCAGGGCCCTCCTTTCCCTCTTGTATTGAACTGTATTGTTGCTGTATTGTCTCCCTTTATATTGTAAAGCGCTGAGCAAACTGTTGGCACCATATAAATCCTGTATAATAATAATAATAATAGTAATAATAACTTGTAGACTATAACTTTCACATAGACCAAATAATATAGACAGATTTAGGTTATTTTTACCAAAGAAATGTAGCAAAATAAATTTTTGCCAAAATTTATGAATAAAAATTCTTTATTTGCTAAATTTTACAAAAGAAATTAAGAAAAATGCATTTTTTAAAAATTTTTGTGCTTTTTTCATTTATAGCGCAAAAAATAAAAAATCCAATGATGATTAAATACCAGCAAAAGATATAGCGCAAAAAATAAAACAAACAAGTGCTGATTAAATACCACCAAATGAAAGCTCTATTTGTGTGAAAAAAAGGACAAAAATGTCATATGGGTGCAGCGTTGCATGACTGAGTAATTGTCAGTCAAAGTATGACAGTTTTAGTTTGTTTGTTATTGTAAATGCACAGCAGTCAGTATCTCAGTTCTCTTTCTCGCTCAAGCTTTTCATTTTCAGGACCATCATTTTATTTTCTAATGGTAGTGTTGCCAAACTGATGTTAGTCTTTTACCATAACGACGATAAAATTTGGAGGAGCAGGATGGAAACAAGTTCTGACTGTAAATGTGATTTTGTTTCTGGAAAAATTGCCCATACTGTAATGAAACCTGTTTAACACGTATGGGATTATATGAAATTAGCAGGTCCCAGTGAAATGCGGCTTCCCAACAAAATTAGCTGACCCAGTGATGGCAAAAATGTTCTACAAATGATTTTTCTATGCATTTGAATGAAAATCTAACCGTGTATGGCGAGCCTTACTTTTTACACCCAGAAATCCAAGAAGGGATAACTGCCCCCCCCCCCCCCCCACGCACGCACACACACACTCAATCTTCAGTCAAGTCAGGCAGTCAGCAAGCACAAAGCTAGTGTTCCCAGAAGCATCAAAGTATCCTAGATTAAATTCATGTTTAACCCCTTGGGTATATGTGGAATTACACCCCAAAATACATTCTGTTACTTCTACAGAGTATGGGGATACCACATGTGTGAGACTTTTTGGGAGCCTAGCCACATACAGGAGCCTGAAATCCAATGACCACTTTGAAAGCTTGACAGTGCGTAACTTCCTCATTACACTTCCTCACTACCTATCACAGTTTTGGAGGCCCTGAAATGCCAGGATAGCACCAACCCCCCCCCCCCCCCCAAATAACCCCTTTTTGGAAAGTAGACACCTCAAGGAATTTAAAAAGAGGCATGGTGAGTATTTTGCCAAACTAATTTTTTCTCACAAGGTTTTGAAATATTAAAAAAAAAAAAAAAAAAAAAAATGTTTTTGTTTTCTTTATTTTTCCAAAAACTTGTGGCAACAAATGAGATCTGCAAAATACTAACCATGCTTCTTATCAAATTTCTTAGGGTATCTGCTTTCCAAAAAGGGATCATTGGGGGGGGGGGGGGGGAATTGGTGCTATCCTGGCATTTCAGGGCCTCCTAAATTGTGATAGGTAGTCAGGAAGTGTAATGAGTAAATAAAGCCCTTTAAACGCCTGAAGGAGCATATTGGATTTTGGGGTCCTGTACTTGGCTACACTGCTAAAGTCTCTCACATGTGGTACCCCCATACTCGGGAGAAGTAGCAGAATGTATTTTGTATATGTAATTCCACATATACCCATGGCTTGTGTGAGCAATATATCATTTAAGTGACAACTTTGTGTAAAAAAAAAAAAAAAAATTATTTTGTCATTGTCTTGTGGAGAAAAAAATAAATCTTTAACCACTTGAGCTCCAGAGAGATTTACCCCCCTTAATGACCAGGCCTCTTTTTGCTACTCGGCGCTGCACTAATTCAACTGATAATTGCGCGGTCATGCAATGCTGCACCCAAACAAAATTTACGTCCTTTTTTTCACACAAATAGAGCTTTCTTTCGGTGTAATTTGATCACCTGTGCGCCTTTTTATTTTTCACACTATAAACAAAAAAAGGCCAAAAATTTTGAAGAAAAACAATATTTTTTACTTTCAGCTATAAAAAATATATAGTAAACTCAAAGTTGGTTATAAATTTAGGCCAAAATGTATTCTGCTCCATGTTTTTGGTAAAAAAAATCCCAATAAGTGTATATTGATTACTTTGTGTGGAAGTTATAGCGTCTACAAACTATGGTATAAATACTGCAATTTACGCCATTTTCCTGCTATACAGCGCTGTGCTAGTTTAACGGACAATTGCGCGGTCATGCAATACGGTACATAAATGAAATTTACATCCTTTTTTTCCCCACAAATTGAGCTTTCTTTCGGTGGTATTTGATCGCCTGTGCGGTTTTTATTTTTTGTGCTATAAAAAAAAAAAACTGACAATTTTGAGGAAAAAAAAACAATATTTTGGACTTTTTGCTATAAAACATGTCTAGTAAAAAAAAAATGCAAAAATCAAATTTAGTCATAAATTTCTGCCAAAATGCATCCTGCGACATCTCTTTGCTAAAAAAAAAAAACCCAATACGTGTAAATTAATTGGTTTACGTGAAAGTTATAGTGTTTACAAATGGCGGGAAAGATACTGGGATTTTAGTTTTTTTTTTTTATACTAATAATGGCGGCAATCAGCGAATTATGGCGGCTATCAGGGACTTATGGCGGCAATCAGCGACTTATGGCGGGACTGCGGCGGACATTCTGACATTGGGGGGTACTGACTTGGGGTCACTGACATCCCCAAAAACACTAATACAGTGATCAGTGCAAAAAAAAACAAAACAAAACAAAACAAAAAAAAAAAAAAACACTGACACTGTACTAATGGCAATGGGGAGGAAGGGGTTAACTTTATTTTGCAAGGAAGGGTTATAGGAGTGAGGGGAGTGTTTTACTAGGGGGCGGGGGTGTGTACTGGACGGGACAAGGCTGATCAAGAAAGAGAAACTGTTCTTTCTCGATCAGCTCATCCTCGAGCTGACAGGGAAGTGACAGACAGCACAGCTACTGCAGCTGTGCTGTCTGTCACTGTTTGCCGCCCGATCCCCGGGAAACAGCCACTAAGGAGAGGCTGTGACCCGGCGACTCACATCTGCGGCGGTGATCGGCGGGACAGATAGGGCGGCGGTGTGCCTGGCGCACGCCCCCTATTTGTTTACAAAACACATGTTTTAAAATGTGGTTTTGCCTGCGAGTGCCACCCTGCCGCCGTATATGTACAGTGGCTGGGCGGCAAGTGGTTAAAATATGCTCAAAATCCCCAAACCACCATAGTTTCCCTTCAACATGGCAATATACTTCTGATCATTGGTCAGTGTTGTAATAAACAAGTAATACCTTCACCATTCCTCGAATCATGGTACGGAAGGAATGCTCATCTTTTTCTGGCATTAGGTTAAAAATTCTCTCTGCATTGTTGTTATCCCTTAAAAAAAATAAAAAAGAATAAGGTACAACAAGATCCATAGAGACACAGTAATTTCATGCAATCTATAAAAAGGGTAATTTTTGACTTTATTGTACTATATCTCCATTGTATCATACAAAAAGACTTGCTATGACCTAAAACTATAAAATGGGAACTGCAGTTAAACAGTATTACACATAGAACATAAAAAGCCATTTATTAGTGTCTGCTATTTAATTTCTGCATACACTTTTTCACAGATAAAAAAAAAAATTATTTTCCAAAAGGATTTTGTCATGAATTAAGAAAAAAAGCCCGCCTCCAACATGTTATTCCATTTTTGATGCGCAAACTAGCAATCGTTCACAGCGCTGTTCCACACCACAGTAAACAGAAAAAACAGTACTACAAAACAAAAGTCCAAAAACCTAGAAATCTTCCTAGCTTAGCTTTTCTCTGGGGAGGGAAGTATGTGGAAGCTTCTTTTTTCTTTACCTTAACGACTATTTTACAAAAAAGGAATATTCAAGGGCGCATTAATTTCCATCATAATTTACCCATAAGAAAGTATTAATTATTGAGTCAATAACTTTAAATTTGCTGTTTGGGATCTAAATTGGTGAAATAAAGTATGATTTGATAAGTGTTAGAACCTCTGAGTTTTTTTTTTGGTCTGTTCTGTATCCCTCTGGGGAGAGTCACCCTCCTTAACCACTGTCTGAGATTGAGAGATGGGAGAGACAAAATTTTTGGTCACCATCAGAACAGTGATAGAGGGGAAATCTTCCAAAGGTAACAATTTTTTGAGAAGGGATATTCCTTCCGTTACAGAGATTTGTCTAAATGATACTAATTGAATAGAAAACTCCACAAAAATGGCTAAAAAAAAAAAACAAAAAAAACCCTTACGTGGATTTTAATCATTCTCTACTTCAGGCATCACTAAATGAATACCAGAGGGCGCGTCTAAGGGTAGCAAGTTATTGTTTATTATAAAAAAATAAAACCCCTCACATTTAGTAAGATCACAGAAGGCATATCTTAAAACCAAGGCAGGCATCTAAAGGACCCAGGCTGCACTGCAGCAATCCAAATTCCAGCATGACAACAGATGCTGGGGGCATAAAAGGTGCATGGCTACGCGCTTCAAGGTGATAACGTCTTTCTCAAGCCTCTTCTCACTATTAGGTGGACCGCAGTCCAGACCCTAAACCGAGTGGCACTTTATTCAGATTGTGAAGCATGCCCTGGGTGCCACTTGAAGGGGCCACTCAGCACCCTTAACGTGTGTGGCAGTTCACTGTGGCACATGGCAGTGCATTGAGATTAAATGCAGAATATCCCAAAACTCAAGGTATTGGCAAGAACTGAGCCTATGGAAACCATAGATTTTGGCTTGCTATTGCTATTGAATATGGTCTTCATTGAGTAATGCAGTTAATTGCAGCCCAATGCATGTGGTGTAAATGGGCCCAAAGGTAAAATTCATAAAACATGAAAACTTTTGCTAGATAAGTGCACTTTTTTTTTTACTATATTTTCATTGTTTCCTCTAAAAGGCATGACCTTTTTTAGAGATAAATTACAGATTGACACTCCATGAACACTGCATTACCTCCAACTCTTCACTTCTGACTTGAACTTGGAATATGGATACTTCTGGTCAATTGTCTGAAAATAAAATGAGATCCCATCACATACAAAATACCTGAGAACTACGCACTTACAAATGAGGATTTTATCAATAAAAGGGAATAAACACAGATGTGCTGATTACAGTTTGTTTTTTTTTGCTTTTTTTTTTAATAAAAATGTAAACCCAAAACTTTATTTTTTGATACAGTGTGGAGCGGTTACAACTTCTGTCTGGGCTTTACTGCTGTCTGTGTCTCTCTGAAGAGATTCACCATCGCCAACGATCCGGATGTCTTTCCGGAGTTGTCACAGGAACAAGAGGTGGGAGGAAATCTTCCAAATGAGTAGACCTGTTCTGGAGAAAACTGTCCAAGGGTGGTCAAACACACTTAGATTTCTAACAGATTCCTTCATCCATGCTAAACAGAGTGGATGGGTAAATCTCTCTTTCCGGCTATTGTATTGTGACAGCCAGAACCCTCACTGCATCAGATTAAATGCTGTTACTGTTTGGATGACAATTGAAGGATCAACTTTTGTTGAACCAGGTAGTGCCGACAGGGACACTCACTTTGGAGAGATCTTCATGTATTTCCCATTGTGCCTTTGGGAAAGAAAGTGAAGGAAAATCTCCATGATGAGGTGAAAAAGGAAACAAAAAAACCACAAGGGTCTTTACCTTTTTCATAAAGTAAAAAAAGCTTTTTGGCTTTCCAGAAAATAAAAAAGAAACTTTAGAGAAAAATGAAAAAAAACTAGTTAGAACAAAAAGGTCTATTTAAACGGTTTCAGGGTATGTTCACACCACATGTGGCTGGACTGCATTGGGCAGCTATTCCAGCATAGTCACACTGCATGGATATGGCAAAATGCCTGTCTCCCTGTTCCCGGTTCACGCCACTGTCTTGCAGTGGTGTGTGAGCACAAAGCGCTGAAAAAAAGTACTGCATGCAGTACTTTTTTTCAGCACGGTGCAAGGCAATCCACTGCCTTGCACCGTGGAGCTAACAATTGAACTTTATAAGATGTCCATCTGACATTTCAATAAAGTTTATGTAGCCTCCCTGGCGGTATTCCCGAGTGTAGCTCGGGGTAAAGTTTCAGTACCACAAGCGGTAACCCCGAGCTACACTCGGCTTACCATGCGCGTGCTTGCTCCGGCATCTGTTCTTCACTTACCTTGTCCTGCGCTCCCGCGATGTCCCTCCTGCAGTGTCCCCGGCAATGTAATCCGGCGGATGGCAGCATCTGTCATCTGGGTTCCGTCCCCTGCGAGCGTCGGGACATACGGGGACGGAATGGCGGGAAATTTGAAATGACAATAAGTGACATTCACTAAATACACTAAAATCACATAGTAAAACATTACTGTATCAACCCATTTCACATACATTTTGTCCCGAGTGCTTTGTCCTGCGCCCTACCTGCATTTTTACTGTTCTTATTGCCTGGAAACTGAGAAATGTCCATGGCGTCCAAAAAGCGTCCCTTTAGGTCAAAAGCGGTTTTAGACCAGCTAGGAACAGCGATAGTAAATTAGAACCACTTGCAGAATTGAGTGATGATTCATGGGGGAAATTTATCAGACACTGAAAACGATTTTGCGACTTTGCTCAGCGATGTGCGAACTTGGTGCTATATTTCAAATTTCAGTGTTTTTGGTTTGATTATATTATTGAATTAAATTTATTATTATATTATATTTTTATGATTATTTATTAAATTATAATTTATGATTTTGTGTTTCAATTTGATCATACCCGAGATGTTTACTGGACTCTTGCTCGGACAGATTTCAGTGAGTTATTCCTAAAAATTACAGGCCTACAATAAAAAAAAAATACATATTTCCATGCAAAAAAAATGTACCGCTTTGAGCACAGAAATATGGACATAATCAGACCGCTAGGGAGGTTAAAAAAACAAAACAAAAAAAAACAACAAAAACACACCACAGTAAAATTCGTCATCATTGTGCTGGTCTCGGCCTCACCACACCTCACACCAGTTGCTGCATTAAAAATGCACAGCTGGTGTGAACGAGCTTTTAAATTGAAAACAGAGGTGCTCACTTATCAGTACCTTGTGTCATGGATTGCTTTGACCCCATTGCTTCTAAATAAACGCTTCAGGAGGTGTAATGAAATTGGTAACATGATGCATATTTGGTGGACCTACCCATTTTTGCCTTCCAGTCCAGAGTGTTTGACTAACACCCACTCTACTTGTTGATAAACAGAGATCCAGAGAAACCCATGGACCACATGTCTACAGGAAAAACAAAAATTGCCCACCTTCGCAAAAAGAAGCAAAAATTAGCTTGGCAGCAAAACACAGTTTCCTTTTTTTATGCAAAGGACTATCTCTTTCAAAAGATAAAACTAGACTGTGGGCTTCATGATTAATGAAAAACTTTCTAGCATTTTGAAGGATAACCACAAAATGTTGGCTGCGAAACGCTTGCATTTTTAAGTGCATTTTCCCTACCCATGTGCAACGTTTCTTTCAGTTATAAACTGAGCTGAGCAGTTGTGTCAATATAAATATGCAACTAAATCCCCCCCCCCCCCTCGATTTAAAATGGCATCTATTCCAGCCCCCTGTCAGCTGTTAAGATACCTTAACAGTGATCAGCAACATTTAATATACAGCCAGATAGCCTTAAAATGGAAAAAGATTTCCACAACATCAAAAGAAGACTTCTATAAATGCATTCATGATGTCTATAACATGGAACACTTAGGCTACGTTCACACTAGCTTTGTCAGCAGGCGTCAGACAGGCGTTTGGGAAGTGTTTTTAACACTTCTCAAACGCCTATGAAAATTCTGCACATGGCAGTACACAGTGTTGTTCACATGGAAGAGTTAGCGTCGCGTCAAAACGGATGCCTCGTGTCTAGTCAGGAAGAGTTGAAGCCTCCCATTCAAGTCTATGGTGCTGCTCCGCAAATGCCTAGCAGGCGTTTGCGGTGCGGTAATACCATTTAACGTCATTATAGGAGTTTGTGGTGCGGTTTTAACGCTTGGAAAACGCCTATCAGCCACCTCAAAACTGTGCATAGAGCATTTGGGCGCGTTAGAGGAGCGTTAACGCTAATGGGGGGTTTGGCAAGAGTTAGAAATAAAGACAAGTGTGAACGAGCCCTTAAAGCGAAACTTTACCCATAACTTGATAAAAAATAAAGTTCTTTAGCAAGGAACATACATTCCGCTTAAATAATTATGCTACCAAAATTAGTGTGTGCTGTAAATTGCCTCCAGCAATCGGTTTCTTCTTGTTGGAGGCTGTCTGGAAAGCCCCTGGGCAGCAGTAAATCATAAAGCAAAGCTAAACCTCTTGATTTAACGGTTTCAAAAAAAGTTACATACCTGGAATACTGGGATTGCTAATGGTCACATTTGCTTGTGTCCTCAACCAAACTGTTAAACCATCAAATAGCTGATGTCATAACTGACCACATGTGCACCAACATGGCAGCTGTAGATCAAACAGAAGCAGCTTCCAAGGCTATAAAGGATAGGAGAGTTGAATTCTGCACTTTAGAGGAACTTTAGTCAGAAAATTAAGTCCTGCTAGATCACTTCAGGTTGGCCCCTTTTGCAGGTATAGCTATGCAAAACATTAAGAATACGTGTCTATACTGTTTAAAATCCAGAAATACACGGCCTCAGCCTGCTCTGCACATACTCAGTCGCTCTCCATTTTTAGGCATTGTGCCGAATTTGTAGAGGCCGATCTGTTGGCAGTCTAAAGATTAAAATGGAACTAAACTCATTTCCAAAAACAGTTACATTCCCGGCATGCAAGGAATACTAACTGTCACAATTGCTTGTCTTCTCAACCAAACTGTCAAACCATCAAATGACTGGTGTTATAACTGATCATATGTGCAGCACCATAGCAGTTGCAGAAGGCAGCTTCCTTGGCTGGAGGGCAAGTGGTTAAAGCAGAACTAAACCCCCCTATCCTTTTCAGAGGATTTAAACCCCCCCCTTCCTGACCAGGCCATTTTTGATATACGACGCTGCATTACTTTAACAGACAATTGCGTGGTCATGCAATGCTGTATATAACTGAAATTTATGTCCTTTTTCCCCCCACAAATAAAGCTTTATTTTGGTGGAAAAAAGAAAAAAAAAATTATTGACTTTTTGCTATAAACATATCCAATAAAATATTTAAAAATTTCTAAATTCTTCATAAATTTAGGCCAAAATGTATTCTGCTACATATCTTTGCAAAAAAAAAAATCCCAATACATGTAAATTAATTGTTTACATGAAAGTTATAGCGTCTACAAATGGCGATATGTACTGAAATTTGTATTTTAATTTTTTTGATACTAGTAATAGCGGTGACCATGACTAGTTGATACTTGTTTGATACTAGTATTAGCGGGACTGCGGTGGGCATTCTGACACTGAGTGGGAACTGACATTTCCAGTGACACTAATACAGTGATCAGTACTAATAAAAAGCACTGACACTGCACTAATGACACTGGGCAGGAAGGGGTTAACATCTGGGACAATACAAGGGTTAACTGTGTGCTCTGTGTGTTTTACTGTGTGCTGTGTTTTACTACAGGGACATGATGTGCAGAGAGATACAAAACAGCATGTCCATGTTGACAGCAAAGAGATCTGTGTTTACACACGTTTCACCCTGACGATCGCCGAGTGCCAGCCAGGAATCACTGGCCCTACCTGGAAATGCAAATCTACGTATATATACACGTGATTTTGCACAGCCCTGACGCCCTGTAGCAGTACTTCTGCTATAGGGCAGAGGGCAGCTGGTCAACTGCTGCTCAGGGCTCTGAGCTTAAACAAAATGGCAGCCTCCAGCAAGAAGAAACAGGAGCAATGCTGGAGGCAATTTACAGCCCTGATGATCAGTGCAAAGCAATGCCACCAGTCAGTGTCCAGCAAAGCTGTCAGTCAGTGCGTCCGGCTCCACAAAAAAGAACCGAAAATAGCTTGGCAAAACAATAGTTTCTGACTAAAAAGGGAACTATCCCTTTCTTCAAATACAAATCTAGACTGTGTGGCTTCATGATATCTATAAATGAAAAAGCACCATCCCATAATTAGGTGCAACACAGACAATCCCTAAATAGAGCAGCTGCTCCTTTTAAGTGCAAAATAACACTCATGACATATAAAAACAAAGTAAAGTAGACGCTCCCAGATATATATATATATATATATATATACAAAACCCCGATTGACTATTATTGCGGCTATAAAAGATTTACTTATCAACTAACATTCTGTTAATATATTTGACATATCTAGTGATTGAGGCCCCAAGAAAATGGCGATATTGTCTCATAGTGCTATGGCTGCGAAAATATGTCCACCCTTGTTTTTATCTGAACCGCCTTCCGCCCGCCATATAAGGCAAAGACGGGCGCAAGGTGGTTCTCTCGTTCTGGGAGGACGTCATATGATGTCCTCCCATTCTAAATGCGCATGCGCGGCTCCGAGAGTGTGCAGTGCGGCGATCGGCGGTGTGCTGTGTCCCTCGGACACAGCGGATCACCGATCAACGGAAAGAGCTGAAGATTTCGGCTCGGTCATGTGATCAGCTGTGTCCAATCACAGCTGATCTCATGAAAATAGGGAAATGCCGGTTATCAGCATTTCTCTCCTCATGAGCTGTCACGCTGACAGAGGAGAGGAGAGCCGGTAATCGGCATTCCTCAGAGGGGACATGTACAGTGATCATCAGGGCACTGATGATCAGTGTGCCCTGATGATCAGTGTAGCCCCAGCAGTGCCACCTGTCAGTGTCCATTAATGCCAGCTGTCAGTGCCACATATCAGTGCCTACCAGTGCACATTAATGCCACATATCAGTGCTCATCTGAGCTGCCTTTCAGTGTCACCTATAAGTGCCAGTCAGTGCCACGTATCAATGACAGTCAAATCCACCCATCAGTGCCGCCTATCAGTGCCGCCTATCAGTGCCAGTCAGTGCCGCCTATCAGTGCCCATCACTGCAGTCTCATTAGCGCATATCAGTGAAGGAGAAATATCACTTATTTACAAAATTTTAAAACAAAAACTAAGAAAAAAAAAATTTTTTCTCAAAATTTTCAGTTGTTTTTGGTTTGTTTAGCAAAAAATAAAAACTCCAGGAGGTGATTAAATACCACCAAAATAAATCTCTACCTGTCTCAAAAAAATGCTAAAAATTTCATATGGGTACAGTGTTGCATGACCGCGCAATTATTCAAAGTGTGACAGCGCTGAAAGCTGAAAATTGGCCTGGGCAAGAAGGGGGTATAAGTGCCCTGTAGGGAGGGGTTAAACTATAAGGTATTGGCATGTTCCCGTATTAAATTGCTCTTCGGAATCTGGTAAGGTTCGGTTTGCCCATTCATTTAGGTGTACATATAATTCCCGATCTAGCTGCGTCTAGTCTGAATGTACTTCATAATGACATTCAGCTCTTTTTGGTCTGGGTCCCCCGCAGTGATGCAGCTGATCTGTCGGACTATGGCAAAATGGCGCCCGACTCGCGCACGCACGGAGGGCCGATCTGCCAGACTTCGGCAAGAAGGCGCCCGACTCGCGCACGTGCGGAAGGCTATTTAAAGCGGCGGACGTTCGACGGCAAGCTAATCCCTTTGACAACGTGCTGTCGCATGAAAAGCGTCATGGAGGAGCTTGCCGCACGGACGTCATTTGCTGCCTAGTCCACATGTGGGGCTGGCAGCCATCTTTACTAGCTACAACAACTTCTGAATGAATTTTCAACTATTTGCCATATCTAACTGTACTACCACCATTGGCTGTACTATGTTGGTATAATCTGCCTAAATACATCTGTACCGCTGGCTCAATAAACCCTACTACACTATATGAGCGCTTATATCTGGTGGCGTTTCTTTTGAGCTACTTAAAGGTGTATATTTATTGATGCTGACCTAACTGATGCCTGGGTGCAAGTGAAACCGAGGAACTGTCGTGGCTGTCTGTGAGGGTCTTACTAAAGAGGTTTGGAGTTCGGTTCCAGGGTGTGCAAAGTGCCTGAGAAGTGCCATATCCTTACCGGTTCCTTAGATGACCACGAGTGCCCCTCTGAGTGTCATATACATGCACAATTATATTGAGCGTCTGGTGAGCGCAAGCACACCACTTTTTCTTATCCACAGAAGTCACGAGCACCTATTGATTTAATTCCAGTGGGAGCGATCATTATCCCCAGACACTGATTGATCTGTGCACTTATAAGGAAAAGTTCCAATGTTTGGACTATTATGCGTTTATAATGTGCGTTTATACTTTTGCTGCCCGTCTATCTTAAGACGACGCATTATGGTCACTTTATTGGGCATGTTGGAAAATTTGTGAAAAACAACCGTTTTCGACTCAATGATGGTCAAATCGTACAATCGTTTTTCCAAAAAGAATATGCGCATGAGCCGTGACCTGGATGGGGTGAACTTTATGACTTGGTTGGCCGATTTTTGAAATCATTGATGGCACCATCGGATTACCAAGCGAACAACGTTTTCAATTTTCCGACGAAAAAACGCTCGGAATTGGAACCTCGTATGGCCTGCATTACTGTTAATGTTATGATGGAACACAGGAATTCTTTGTGGGTGAGCACCTGGGCATTTATCTCAAAGATACAGTGTAGCAGCTACCCGTGTAAATAAATATCTACCTGACTTCTCCATCAAGATCAACAACACTACCATCAGTCCCATCCCTCACGCCAGGGTACTAGGTGTAATCCTAGACTCCAATCTGTCCTTCCAGCCCCAGGTCCAATCACTGACAAACTCATGTAGACTTTACCTCCGCAACATCTCCAAGATACGACCGTTCCTAACCCCGGAAACCACTAAGCAACTTATTCAGTCCCTTGTCATATCACACCTCGACTATTGTAACTCCCTCCTCATTGGCCTACCTCATCGCAGGCTATCCCCACTCCAGTCCATCATGAATGCTGCTGCCAGACTCATTCACCTTACTAACTGTTCTGTATCTGCCACCCCTCTCTGCCAATCCCTCCACTGGCTTCCCATTGCCCAAACGGATAAAATTCAAAACACTAACAATAACGTATAAAAAAGGTATTTATAACTCTGCCCCAAATTACATCACCAATCTTGTCTCTAAATATCACCCAAACTGTACTCTCTGCTCCTCGCAAGACCTCCTACTCTCTAGCTCCCTTGTCTTCTCCTCCCATGCTCGTCTCCAGGATTTCTCAAGGGCTTCACCCATCCTCTGGAACTCCCTACCCCAATCTATCAGGCTATCACCTACTCTGCTCACTTTTAGGCACACTCTGAAAATCCATCTCTTCAGGGAAGCCTACCCCGACCCCATCTAATACTGGAATCCTCTACTCTTCCTACCACTCCATCCCCCACAGCCAATTTCCTTTGTACCACTATCCCCTCCCTCCTAGATTGTAAGCTCCAGGAGCAGGGCCCTCTAATCCCTCTTGTATTGAACTGTATTGTTGCTGTATTGTCTCCCTCCAGAATGTAAAGAGCTGAGCAAACTGTCGGCGCTATACAAGTCCTGTATAATAATAAAACCTTTCCCTATATACTATCTATGCATATTTATTTATTTTTAAAACATAATCCCCCCCTCTCGTCATCTGTAAATCACAGGATTGCCTAGAGTTCAGCCTTAACTGGTCTAGTGTTACACTGGCCACACACACACAGGATAAAAATAAAAACAGTAACAGGGCTGATATCAGTTTGCACTACAACAACCAAATTGAAAAAGGTGAGCTACAGAACCAACACTATTATAAACCACAAAAGGGTCTATGTCTAAATGTTTTTCACATAAAATTCATGCAACGTTTTCACCCAGAATTCACATTTTTTCCTTTTCTATCCCATTAAAAAAAAAGTTGTGAATATTGAGAGAGCATTATGTGAAAACATTTATGAATATACCCAAAGTGTATGTGGTAGGTCAGCATTGTTGTGTCAATTGTGCTGAAAACTGCAATTCACCATGTTTGGTCAGCAGAACACAATCCTTTTGAGAAAAAAAGGGCAGTTACAGCAAAGCCATTACCAATCACAGCCTTCATATCTGTGTGATTTCAGAGACAAAAATAAAATGATTCACATCCCAAATGTAAAAACACTTACACATTACAATACGATAGTGACTCACATTTTCGTTCTCCTGGTCTGATTCATTTGGCTGACTCTCCGATGAAGGCTCTCTATCACCGTAAAAGCACAGAAGATCTAGAAGTCTATTTGTGGTCTCTAGAGATGGTGGTGTTCCTACAAACATGACAGAATATTACATTCACATTCTATAGTTCATATCTAAAATACTGGGCCTTTAGCTGTCAAAATATGTAGTGCAAAACCTGCTGCTGTTGCCAACAACAATCATCCTGTTGTGGTGCCTTGGGAAAATCCAACTGGTTGTTGTGGACACCAATTCCTTGGTTAAATCCAGGAGATATACCCTGCGTACTCTCCCATGACCCTTCAATTCCTCCATGAAAGTCAAGAGACAGACCCTGCGTTTGTTCCTTGTCGGAGCTTAAGTAGTATTGAGTACATCATCCCTACCCTCAAAATGAGTCTTGAAAGCTCAACCCCCTGACCCAAATTACTCCCTTTCTACGCTCCCCTGACCCCCAATTTCTCCACTAAAGTGGTTATAAACTTTGGGCATTAAATATGAACAAAGCATATTCCTCTACAGCGTGTACTTGTCTCAATCCAAAGCACTAAGTATCATTTCTGTTTACTGTTCTGTTCCTCTGCTATCTGCATGAGTCATGAGTCACTTCTAATGTGTTTTCCTGAAATCAAGAGAAAAAAGGTGACAGGGGAGGGATCTCCAGCAAAGCCTTAGCTCTGTTGCTGTGTGCCATGTAAAAGTGGGTGTGTCCCTTCCATCCAATCAGCTCTCAGAGCTCTCCTCACCGTAATCTGCAATTCTGTACTTTGAACAGATGTAAAAAAAAGAGGGGGCCGCAGGTAAACAGGTACAACCTATGTAATAGGATTTGTTTCATCTCTTTGTACCACCTGAGGCCAGTCACTTCACTGGGTATATGGAAGGGTTTACAACAACTATAAAGTCAGGAGATAGACACTGTGTACACCCGTCTGATTACACAGGGTTGAGGACATCACCCCCTCCCTCAAAGTAACAGTCTTGAAAGCTCACCCCCTGATCCAATTATACTCCCCCTTCTACGCTCCCTCTATATTGCTCTGTTAAAGTCAAGAGACAGACTCTGTGCACTTGCTGCTGGAGCTTTACAGGGTTAAGGACATCACCCCTTACCTCAAAGGAATACAGTCTCTTGACTTAATTTATAGTCAACAGCAGCTGCACTATGACAACTACATAATTTCACCAGAGCGGAGGCTCCAGAAACACAACAATGCAGGCCAGTTGATACAGTTCAGTTACAATCTCGTACATAGTCAGGTCATCAGCAGATGAAGTCTAGAACAATCAGCCTGGATATCAATATGTTCATGGGCGAACAAAAAGCACATGTAAAGGTTTAACTGAACCACATACCGGCTTGAAGAAGTTGATCATACAAGTCCACAGACTCTTTGACTTTTCGGAGCTTAACACGCTCAGTCAAGGCTTCCTCGCAAATTCCTTCAATTTGTGGCTGGACTGTCTCCGGCATCAGGAGCTTGAAATAGAAATCCTATCAGTGAAAATCTGACATTTACACAGGTTTAGAACTGCCTACCATGTTTGGAGTCCAAGGAGGATTATCTTTATGACGTTTTTTCTCTGTGTGTTTTTTTCCCCATAGTGTTCAATATTTCTTCCATTAAAAAGAAAACAAACAAAAAACCCCCCACAAACTTACTGCTTCTTGGCTTCTATCTAAAACTGGCTTTTGTGTCTACATGTCAGTCATGGGGGCATCAGAATGTAAGACCCTCTGAGCAAAGGAATAAAACTTGGATTTACACTGTAAAGTATAAAACACAAGTGTATAATAAATGTTGCACAGTTTAAAGATTTTAAATCACTTTAACTAAAAGCCATATTGTTTGTTTTTTTACATTTATGGTAGACTTAGACTGGCCATGTACTAAGAAATATTAACGTTCCAAATATTTTCTGATAAAAATTCTAATGGTTGGTGGGGCCAAATCAACTCTTGTTTTGGACCGTGGAGATGAGGATATTCAAAGGAGCACGATAGAAATATTGTTCTTGAAATGGTTTTGTTTGGAAAATTCCATTCATACTTAAAAGCAAAACAAAATATCTTAACATTCATGAAGTCTCTGATAGCATTATTGAATGCACCGCAGAGATTTTTGGTAAAAAAGCGTGTTCAAAAATCTGCCAGTGTATATATAGCCAGCTTAGAGAGTAACTCCACTTTTGCCAAGAAAGAAACCTTCCCCTCAAGGTGATCCATGTACATTGCAGGGATTTTTAACAAACTTTGTTGCAGATTCCTACCTTTTTCTGTTCTGAAGAAATAGTGGTTTGTTTGTCCATGTGCTAAGTCAATCAGCTGCTACACCTGCTGGGCTCCAAAAAAGAAAATTGCAGGATCGCCATCCCTTTAGAAGTGTTTTCCCTTTGGGAGTATCTCACCAAAAAGAATAATTTTGTTACAGGAAAGCCCAAAATCTGACTTGTATCTTAGTGCAGACTTCTAGGAAAATCAGTAAGCCAATCAAACAAGCAGGAAATGACATTTCTGGGGGGACATTCTGAACAGCATCTGTATACAGAATGCCTCCAGGTTGCCATATTATGAAAAGGAAGAGAAAAGGAGGCGCAACCTAAGTGTAGTATTATTAGAAAAGGAATTATTGGCACAACGTTAAGAACACTCACAAGATAAAAATCTTGAAAGGCTCATCTGTGTATAAGTCCTCGGGCCATTCATCTTCTTCCCCAGGGACTGCTACAGGGGACCTGGATGTCTCCAATGGACAGGAGGAAACAGTGGCTGGCGCTCTCCAGAAGGTCCAGGCTAACCAACGTGGACCACAAGCGGACGTGACGTCCTGGAAAAGGAGGGAGGGCCGGAAAGTACACAGACACTGTCAAGGAAGAGCTGGCTACTCTCTGGATGGCTGCCGCTTACCTGCTTTCTACTCTACACAGAGATTGGACTTTTCACTAAACCTAACACTATAGCTTATACTGTATGGAATAATTGTTTTTAATGCACCAGAATTATTTTATCATATTATGAAACAGAAAGGTAATTTTTAACAACATTCAATTACAATATGACTTGTGTCACAATTGTGTACACTGCTTTTATATTTTTTTTTAATTTACTATTTTTTTTCCCCACAAAAATGGGAGTTACCCTTTAAAGCAAGGCTTGACAAATCTCAGGTGCCAGGTTGCCATGGCGACTAGAAATTGCGCCCTGACACCTAGGTTCACACACTGCCTCCCATTGCCTTCAAAGCAAAAATGCCTCCCATTGACTTCACATAGGATTGTCATTGACAGGAGTTTTTGCATTGAACACCTATCTCTGCATACCACTCTACAATTTGCAAGTCTGGAACGCACCATTAAAAACTGGCACAGGATCCTTTTCTTAAATGGTACTCAACACAATACATGTGGATCACATCTGTGTGAACCACCTCAATAGGAAGACATAATATCTAGCCTGTCAAGCAAATCTGTGAGCTTGAAAAAGCATCAAGAATTGCATGTGTGAGAACCAGGGTGGCACACGAGTGTTTTGGGATCGCGGCAGAATCGCTGTAATCGCAAAATGCAGGCTCAGGTGCCATTATTTTCAATTGCACCTAAAACATAGTACAATTATTATTATTATGCAGGATTGATATAGCGCTAACAGTTTGCTCAGCTCTTTACAATATAAAGGGAGACAATACAGCAATGATACAGTTCAATACAAGAGGAATAGGAGGGCCCTGCTCCTCTGGAGCTTACAATCTAAGAGGATAGGAGGGGGTTTTCAGGGGTCACTTAAAAGTGGGCAAAGTAAGCGATAGTCGGATATTGGGGTAGAGAGTTCCAGAGGATGGGGGAGGCTCTGGAGAAATCCTGGAGACAAGCATGGGAGGAGGAGACAAGGGAGCTAGAGAGCAAGAGGTTGCGAGAGGAGCGGAGAGAACAGTTTGGGTGATATTTGGAGACAAGATTGGTGATGTAATTTGGGGCAGAGTTATAAATGGCTTTATATGTTATTGTTAGTGGTCTGAATTTTATTTTTTGGACAATGGAAGCCAGTTGAGGGATTGGCAGAGAAAGATGGCAGATATGGAATGGTTGGTAAGGTTGATGAGTCTGGAAGAAGGATTAATGATAGACTGAAGAAGGGATAGCCTGCAATGATGTCGGCCAATGAGGAGGGAGTTACAATAGTCAAGGCGAGAAATAACCAGGGATGAATAAGTTGCTTAGTGGTTTCAGTGGTTAAAAACGGCGTATCTTGGGAGATGTTGCGGAGGTGAAGTCTACAAGATTTGGACAGTGATTGGATTTGGGGCTGAAAGGACAGATGGGAATCCAGGATTACACCTAGTACCCTGGCATGAGGGGAGGAAACTGATGGTTGTATGATGGTTGTATTATTGATCTTGATGGAGAGGAGGGGGCACGGGCTGGAGGGAATAATATGAGCTCAGTTTTGGAAAGATTGAGTTTGAGGAAGTGGAGTGACATCCAAGCCGATATGTCACTTAGTAGGTTAGTAATGTGAGAGGAGACTGAAGGGGTGAGGATTAGAAAGATAGATTTGTGTGTCATCAGCATAGAGATGGTACTTGAAGCCATGGGAGTTTATCAAGTGACCAAGGGAGGAGGTGTAGATGGAGAAGAGAAGGGGTCCAAGGACAGAACCTTGAGGTACTCCTACAGAAAGTGAAAGTGGAGAGAGGAGGAGACAGAGTTATAGGTAACATTGAAAGAGCGCTGCGAAAGGTAGGAAGAGAACAGGGAGAGAGCAAGAGAGCAGAATCTTGGAGGCCAAGAGAGTGGAGTTTTTTTGAGGAGGAGGGGATTGTCAACAGTAGCAAAAGCCACAAAGAGGTCAAGCAGTAAGAGAACGGAATAGTGGCCATTGGTTTTAGCAGTTAGTAGATCATTAGTGAGTTTTAGTAGGGCAGTTTCAGTGGAGTGTAGTGAGCGAAAGCCAGACTGTAAAGGGTCAAGAAGGTTGTTGTCTGTGAGGTGGGAGCTCAGGAGATTGTAGACTAAGCATTCTAACAGTTTAGAGTTAAAATTGCAGCAGGGAGATGGGTCTTAAGTTGTTCAGGTTGGTGGGGTCCAGGGAAGGCTTTTTAAGTATGGGAGTGATGTGTGCATGCTTTAGAGGGCAGGGGAAGGTGCCTGTAAAGAGGGAGAGATTGAAGATGTGAATGAGGGAGCAAAGCATAAAAAAAGAGGGTGACCGTAGTAGTTGTGAGAGAACATGATCCAGGGAGCAGATGGTGAGAAGGGCGTTTCCAAGAAAACTTTAGTAACCTCTTCAGTAGTAGCAAGGTCAAAAGAGGAATGTGTTGACGGAGGTTTAGTATAAAGTATGCTAAATGGGATAGAGGTCTGTGTAGTGGAGATGCCCTATGAATTGCATCAATCTTGTTTTTTAAATGACTGGCACTCTCGTGATCACTGAATGAGTTACTGGGTGGAGGTGGAGAGAAAAAAGTAGAGAAAAACGACGAGGACTGGATGAAAAGGTATTAATAAAAGTGACAAAGTAGGCTTGTTTGGCAGCATGGAGGGAGGAATTGTATTTTAGGAAAGCAGATTTATATAGGATGAATAATACTTGCTGGGATTTGGTTTTACGCCACAATCGCTCCAGTGCACGACTATGTATGTTAAGATTTCTGGTGTCGTTAGTCTGCCACGGTTGTAATAGCCAGGGCCTGATACTTCGTGTAGTTATAGGAGCAAGTGAGTCTAGTGTGAACTGTTGTAGACAGAAGTAGCCAGGTCAGGGCAGGAAAGGGGAAAGATTCTGTCATAGAGGTGGTCGTTTGCAGAGAAGAGAAGGGTTAATGTTGTGAAGGTTTCTGCGGGTAATTGTTTGCTGCTTGGAGGGATAAGTGTTTGAAGACGAGGACACTGAATGTGATGAGATTGTGATCCGAGAGAGGAAAGGAGGTGTTTGTGAGGTTGTAGGGAGTGCAAAGATGGGAGAAGACAATGTCTAATGTATTCCCATCAGAGTGAGTGGAGGATGGTGTGCATTGCATTAAGGCAAAAGATGAGGTTAGGTTGAAGAGTTGGGATGTAGCTGGGTAGTTTATATTAATGGGGATATTAAAATAACCAAGAATGATAGTGGGTAGTTCAGAGGAGAGAAAGTAGGGTAGCCAGGCAGAGAAGTCATCAAGAAAACGCGAGACTGGTCCAGGACGATAGATCATTGCAATCCTCAGAGAAATGGGAGAAAACAGCCGAATGCAGTGAGTTTTGTAAGAAGAGAAGGATAGAGAGGGAGGGTTATAGAGGACTTGAAAGGTACTCAGTGGGGATAGAAGCAAACCAACTCCACCACCTTTCCGACCACAGGGTCTGGGTGAGTGAGTCCAGTGGAGGCCTCCATAGGAAAGTGGTGCGGGAGAAGAAGAATCTGATGCTTGAAGCCAGGTTTCTGTAATTACTAGTAGGTTAAGGGAGCGGGAGACAAAAAGGTCATGGACAGAGGTGAGCTTATTACAGACAGAGCGGGCATTCCAGAACGCACGTGATAAAAGGGAGCGTGGTTTTTAGGAGCATGGGAATTGAGATTAAATTGAGCGGATTTTGGCTATTCCTGGAGGAAGGAGGATGCCTGGTGTGGGGGTGAGATAGTGGAGGACTGGGGTTTGGGGCGATATACCTCCAGAGGTTAGGAGAAGGAGGGTGAGGAAAAGTAAGATGGAAGCGGGATGTATATGAGTGTACATGCCTCCAGTCCTGGTGTTTGGGTCAGCAGGTGAGTAAAGTATCAGCAGGAGGTGATGAGAGCAGTAGTAGGGAGATGGTAGAAGTGAGGGTGATATGTATAAGCTTTGGGGTGGAGCAGAGGGGTAAAGAAATTCGATTTTGAGAACACAGGATAGTAATATGAAAGCAGGGACATATTATGTTTTGCCTGCAGTCCCTCCAGAGTGCAGTAGAGTTCTTTGTTGTATCTTCTTGCTGTTTAGTTATCCTGCTGTGTGTTCTACTGCTGTGTGTTCTACTGCTGTGTGTTCTACTGCTGTGTGTTCTACTGCTGTGTGTTCTACTGCTGTGTGTTCTACTGCTGTGTGTTCTACTGCTGTGTGTTCTACTGCTGTGTGTTCTACTGCTGTGTGTTCTACTGCTGTGTGTTCTACTGCTGTTTCGCACTCCAGCAGAAAATGCACTCATGCAGGACAATGCCATCTGTGAGTGTACCCCCCCCATCTGTGACTTCCCCCATAAGCTGGTCTAAATGTATAGAGAGATGATCAAATGAGCAATCCTTCTCCACCCCAATTAAGAATTGATAAAGAACACAGTTTGCCATAATGGTTGTGTGGCAAATCGCATTGCGTGAAGCTTGTCATCCAAACATAGTATGACCATTGGAAAATGTTCCCTCTATTGCTGTTCTGGTGACAGCTAAAAATTTCAGGCCTTCGGTGTAACAATGGACACCAGGATAAAATATAAAGGGGGAATTTCCCAATGGGGACACAGAAAGCAATAAACCCTGGCAGTGGTTCTAACCCCTCCCCACTTTATCCGAACTTTAAAAATTTGGCTTTGGATACTTTTAAGTTGACCTAAAACCAGTTTAAAACATAACCAGTTTTCCACTCCACACCCCCCATTAACTAATAAAGTGTATGTCACCCCTTCCTATGAACTTTTATTTGCTTCCATCTGATCTTTTCAATAAACCACTAAAAATGTTTTGCTATGACCTCCTAATCTCCTTTCAGAAATCTAGTGGGATGGTAACTTTCTGTGCCCTCTATCCGTTCTGCATGGTTATCAGTTACACTATTTTAGGTCGAGCTAAAGAGCATGTCCCCCTTATGTTATGGGGGAGGGCAGGTGTTCTGTAGTCCTAACCCACTTCCTATGGATGTTTGTAGCTAAAACCCAGTTTCTACATAGAAAGAAACATAGAAAAGTTTAAGGTGCTGTCCCGGTGTTCTTGATTTTGCTTTCATGTTGAAAATACAGCCCTCCTAAAACGTATTCACACCCTTGATGACCAGCTCTTGGAGCCAATAAGGCTATGCTTAAGTGTATATGGGAAGGCAGTGTACATGCAGATAGGAGGAGAAAGCAGAGGTAGCAGAGGAATGGTCTCATCAGTTTTCGGCTCCTTCATTATTGTCCAGTCAGGGAGCTGAAAATGTGCCCACATCTTGCTATAGAGGTTTGGACCTGGCTAGGTTATCTAGCAGTCTCTGAATCACAACACTGGTTGCACAGAATTACTAAATACAACACACAGTATCTCCCAGAAGTGAATACACCCCTCACAGTTTTGTAAATATTTTATTATATCTTTAATGTGACAACACTGAAGAAATTACACTTTGCTACAATGTGACGTAGTGAGTGTACAGCTTGTATAACATGTAAATTTGCTGTCCCCTCAAAATAACTCAACACACAGCCATTAATGTCTAAACCGCTGGCAGCAAAAGTGAGTCTACCCCTAAGTGAAAATGTCCAAATTGGGCCCAATTAGCCATTTTCCCTCCCCGGTGTCATGTGACTCGTTAGTGTTACAAGGTCTCAGGTGTGAATGAGGAACAGGTGTGTTAAATTTGGTGTTATCGCTCTCTCATACTGGTCACTGGAAGTTCAACATGGCACTTCATGGCAAAGAACTCTCTGAGGATCTGAGAAAAAGAATTGTTGCTCTACATAAAGATTAGCTAGGCTATAAGATGATTGCCAAGACCCTGAAACTGAGCTGCAGCACGGTGGCCAAGACCATACAGTGGTTTAACAGGACAGGTTCCACTCAGGACTGGCCTCACCATGGTCCACCAAAGAAGTTGAGTGCACGTGCTCAGCGTTGTATCTAGAGGTTGTCTTTGGGAGATAGACGTATGAGTGCTGCCAGGTTGAAGGGGTGGGGGGGTCAGCCTCTCAGTGCTCAGACCATACTCTGCACTCTGCCTTAAATTGGTCTGCATGGCTGTCGTCCCAGAAAAAAGCCTCTTCTACAGATGATGCACAAGAAAGCCCGCAAACAGTTTGCTGAAGACAAGCAGACTAAGGACATGGATTACTGGAACCATGTCCTGTGGTCTGATGAGACCAAGATAAACTGATTTGGTTAAGATGGTGTCAAGTGTGTGTGGCGGCAACCAGGTGAGGAGTACAAAGACAAGTGTGTCTTACCTACAGTCAAGCATGGTGGTGGGAGTGTCATAGTTTGGGGCTGCATGAGTGCTGCCGGCACTGGGGAACTACAGTTCATTGAGGGAACCATGAATGCCAACATGTACTGTGACACACTGAAGCAGGGCATGATCCCCTCCCTTGGGAGACTGGGCCGCAGGGCAGTATTCCAACATGATAACGACTCCAAACACACCTCCAAGACGACCACTGCCTTAAGCATGTCTCCAGACCTAAACCCTATAGAGAATCTGTGGGGCATCCTCAAAACGGAAGGTGGAGGAGCGCAAGGTCTCTAACATCCACCAGCTCTGTGATGTCATCATGGAGGAGTGGAAGAGGACTCCAGTGGCAATCTGTGAAGCTCTGGTGAACTCCATGACCAAGAGGGTTAAGGCAGTGCTGGAAAATAAATGGTGACCACACAAAATATTGACACTTTGGGCCCAATTTGGACATTGTCACTTAGGGGTGTACTCACTTTTGTTGCCAGCGGTTTAGACATTAAAGGCTGTGTGTTGAGTTATTTTGAGGGGGCAGAAAATTTACATGTTATACAAGCTGTACACTCGCTAGGTCACATTGCAGCAAAATGTCATTTCTTCAGTGATGTCACATGAAAATGATAATAAAATATTTACAAAAATGTGAGGGGTGTACTCACTTCTCTGAGAGAGATACTATATATGCATTTTTTTTTAACTATGTATTGTAATTATTTGTCTGCAGCTGAGCGGATATGTAACAGGCAGGGGCGGACTGACCATTTAGGCTCTCGGGCGCTGCCCGAGGGCCCGGGTCAGTAGGGGGCCCCATGAGATGCCCCTGGTACCATTCATAGGCTTTTTTGGATGTGGTTTGAGTGTGGGCAAGGACACAGGGGCCCCATGATTTCCTATTGCCTAGGGAGCCCCATGAGTTGTCAGTCCACCCCTGGTAACAGGTTTACGTACTGGAATGTGAGGCTCGGCTAGTTGGCTCTCAAACAGATTGGGATACATATTCACAATATATTTTGCAGCATTTCTTCCAGACTCCTTAGACATGGAAAATGTAATCTGGATGAAAAGACAAAAACACAATTTCATGTTACAATGTCATCACACCAATGTTTGACCCAATCTCTAAAACAGTCAAGAGATTTTATAGATTTAAAAAAAACCACAATAGTATAGGAGATTGTGGACTTTCCATAGAATGCTTACACAAATTCATCAAGGCTCATACAATATAATCTATAAAATACCCACTAAAAGTCAAAGTATAACTAAAGTAAAACCTTTTATTAGTTTTGTATAGAGTAGTGAGGGATTAGAACCTTTGTCAGTTTTTATTGCTGTCTGTGCCCCTGTTATAGAGATTCACCCTATTTGTCCTGTTTACCATTATCATTGCAAGTGAAAGTAAAAGAAGATCCCAAATTTTCAGTTGTCCCCAGAAAAGTAACAGAGGGGAAATCTCCAATGGGGACACTAGGACCTGGAGGCCCCTAGAGATTCTCTCAATTTGCACGGATGTCCTCTCACTTCCTGTTTGGCTATGGGACAGGAAGTGAATGGAAATCTCCGCAATGGGGAGCAGATGGCAAAGAAAAAAAACTGACAGGGGTTATACCCTACCTTGCTCTATCCAAAATGGAAAAAAAAAAAAAAAAAAAAACACGTTTTACCTATAGTTCTTTTAGAACTCACGGTTATAACAGAAAAAACATCTAAAGCTGGCCATAGACTGTTTGAATCTTGGCCAGTTCTGCAGGGACTGGCCGAGATTCGAACCATGTATGGGCAGGCTGACTGTACCCAAGTTGATCAATCAACTTGAGTACAACTAGTCTGTTGTATTTTATATGTCATTATTGCTAGTTGTATTATAGCCACTAGCAGTAATCAAGGTGTTCTCCTGGCGGGTATAACTCCCCCTGCCCCCCCACAAGGGGAACACAATGGCTCTATGGGAGGGACAGGATCCCTCATCAACACTGACTGATTTTATATCCTGCAACCCGTAGAAGCAGTTTGCTATAACTATCATACAGTGTTCATGCTAAAGCCTGAAATATGCCATGCTCACTATACAATGGTACACATGGGTAATTGTTGCCTTTGGGAGGCTATAGGTGTGATCAGGTGACAGTTTGGCCATTGAGCACACGTTCATTTAGGTGATCTTTACCCCTTGGAGTGTTGCCATTTCCACACTTGATTTCAGTCACCCCCATCTTCTGGGGGTTCAGAAACTCCATGATCTTATGCCTACCCTGCTCTCAGCACTAGGATAATGATCTTAATCCGGGAAGTGCTGAATCATTGAATTTTGGATGCATTCAGTACAGAAACAACTGCGTGAAAGTTATGCAGGCCATAGACTGATCGAAAATCGGGCGATTTTTCTTTTAAAAACCAAAAAATCGGTCGTTCAAGCGGCCGACGTTACGGCAAAAAGTGTCCCTGCAGAGAGGTCCGATATTTCTTAGACAGTTCCTTGACATTTATAGCGGTTGCAACAATGTATCTATTTGTATCCATTTAGGATACAGATGTTTTTATTCGGAAACAAATAGATACATTGTTGCAACTGCTATAAATGACAAGGAACTGTCAAAGAAATAGCGGAGCTCTCTGCAGGGACACTTTTTGCCAGACTGGAATTCCTTTTCTTCTTCATCCTCTTCATCTTCATCCTCTTCTTCCTCTTCTTCATCCTCCTCTTCTTCATCCTCCTCTTCCTCATCCTCCTCTTCCTCATCCTCCTCTTCCTCTTGCAGGTCACTGCTCATGCGCAGATTTTTTTATCGGTAAAAGATCGGCCGATTTGCCCATCATTGCCGTGAAAATCGGCCGATCGGCAAAATCGGCCGATTTTTTTCCAACTTTACCGATAAAAAAAAATCTGCCAAAATACCGAAAAAACGGCCAACATTTAGCCCACTAACGATCCGAAAATCGGCCGATTTTATTTTCGGCCGAAAAATCGGCCGATTTTCGACCCATCTATGGCCTGCATTACTCATTGGAACCTAATTGTCACCTGTGGACTGAAAACACCATTTCACTGCCATGATACAACAGACACAGGCGTGGAGATAAGAGAGTAATATCAATTATATAAATATTATACCCATGGGAATGGGAACAATTTTTAATAGCATGTTTATCATAAAATGTACTGAGGAAGTCTTGCTGCCTCCGAGTCAACAGACATGCTCTCTGGGTTTGATAGACTCTCACACACATCTAGACATATTATTCAATGCTAAAAGGTAAAATACTGGCGCACAGTCAAAAGGAACATATATATGTAAAGTACTCTTACAGAATCACTCATTGATTTTGGTGTGAGGAAAGGGTCATCTTGAAAATTATAGAGAGCCGATGTTGGGTCCTATATAGGAAAAAGAAAGTGGTGTTTAAAAAAAAATAAAAATAAAAGTGCATACAGACACATTCACATAATAAAAAATAACACTTACATGGTTTACGGTGTAGGCTAGTGCCTGCAAGACAGCTGTTTTATCCCTTAAAAGTAGAAAAAGGTATAAAAAATACATTAATGCCTCTGAAATTACAATCATACAGTAAAATACATGTGCGGTGCACAAGCCAAAGGAAATTCGATGCTAACTAAAGTTTCAGAGCCTTGGTCAATACAGATTCAATCAGGAATAGTAAAAGGCTGCAAAAGAGTATGTCGAAGGCAAAATAAAAAATAAACATAGGCAGTATGTTCAATGAATGAAAATTGCCCAATGTTTTGACCCTTGAAAGACTGTGCAAGTACAGAAAAACACCTGTTGATCTGAGTGGTGTCAGCCCTACCTATTATGTTTTTCTAACGTACTCAGACCAATCCACTGTCTTCTTATCCAAAGCACACGGTATATAAATTAACTTGCAGTCGAAGGTAAGAACAGAAGAGGCTAAATGGTCTCTGAGACAACACCGATATGTGCACAGCACAACTTTGAAATTTCCAGCTTTAACAGGTATTTGTGCACTGCTAAAACAGATAAAACAAAACATTTCCAATGGTATATTTAAAGTAGTTGTAAACCTTCACATATATCCAGGGAAGTGGCTTACCTTGGGTGATACACAGAGATTAAACAAATCCTCCTACATAGGTTGTACCTGTTTATCTGCAACTCCCTATACTCTACATCTGTTCAAAGTGCAGAATTTATACAGCTTGGCTAAGCTTCCAAAAACCAGGGGGCAGGAAGCTGAAGTTACACTATGAAGTTACACTAGAGGTGCAGCTTACTGCTACTGTGAAATCCCTTTATAAATTTGATTATCCACCAATTCTTCATAAACTGGAGGGAGATCTACAGAGGTGGTCAGCACACAACCTTTCCTGGCTGGGCAGCCTGCATTTGGTTAAGATGACCTTGCTCCCACGGTTTCTCTATTACTTTAGGTTTCTCCCCATTCCAGTGTTGGAGAAATTTAAATCTTCAGTGATTAGATATATTTGGGGCAAAAAGGTCATTATTTTGCTAAAAAAATCCTCTTCTGTCCTAAAACTGGGGGTGTTGGGACTCCCGGACTTTTATAGATATTATCAGGCAGCACAACTGACAACTCGCAGCGGTTTATTGGAGACGTTATAAACCGGATTGGGTCTATATGGAGAGGATGGCAGTTCCAGGTTACACATTAGATTATGTACTTTGGTGTCCTCCTCGGAACCACCTGCCTACCCTAGCTCCAATTCTTTCTCAATCGGTTTCTCTATGGGACATGTTGAAGGATAACTCTACATTGGTTTCCCCCTTACATCCGCTAGCCCATATTTTTAAGAATCCCAATTTTACATGGATAGTAAGGCATTTAAATGGTGGCTTGACAAGGGGTTATATTGGATTGGGTAGTTTTTTACCGATAGAGTGCCTTTTACTCTGCACCATTGTGTCGAGGTGTTAGAAATGCCCCAAACGGAGCGGTTCCGTTTCTTCCAGATCTTGCATTTTTGCGTTCCTTTGTGCCCAATAAATCAAATCAATGTAGGGTCACTCCAAAAAAAAAGGTGCACACAGGATATAGGCCAAAGAAGGGGTATCTCTCTTATATATGGAATGCTATTGACTTCTCCTAAGTTTCCTTACATGTCTGACTGGGAGAAAGATCTTGGGGAAGAGGTTGAGTCTGAAGACTGGTACAAGCAATTTCTGAGATCTTATTCTGGCATTATAAATGTAACTTTGATGGAAGCTAACGTTAAAATACCGTATTTGCCGGCGTATAAGACGACCCCCTACTTTTCCTGTTAAAATATAGGGTTTGAGCTATACTCGCCGTATAAGACTACCCCACTTCCAACGCACACCAAATAAAAATGAAAAAACATCAGATTTGATTTCAATATGGTATTCCAATGATGGGACACTATTCCTTCCACTGACACCAATGATGGGGCATGATTCCTCCCACTGATACCAATGATGAGGCACTATTCCTTCCACTGACACCAATGATGGGGCACTACTCTCCCACTGACACTAATGATGGGGCACTATTCCTCCCACTGATACCAATGATGGGACACTATTCCTCCCACTGACACCAATGATGGTGCCCCATCAGTAGTGTCAGTGTGAGAGGAATAGTGTCCCATCATTAGTGTCAGTGGGAGGAATAGTGCCCCATCATTGGTGTCAGTGGGGGAAGAATCGTGCCCCATCATTGGTGTCAGTGGGAGGAATAGTGTCCCATCATTAGTGTCAGTGGGAGGAATAGTGCCCCATCATTGGTGTCAGTGGGAGGAATAGTGCCCCATCACTGGTGTCAGTGGGAGGAATAGTGCCCCATCACTGGTGTCAGTGGGAGGAATAGCGCCCCATCATTGGTATCAGTGCCAGGAATTACACCCCATCATTGGTGTCAGTGGGAGGAATAGCGCCCCATCATTGGTATCAGTAGCAGGAATTGCACCCCATCAATGGTGTCAGTGGGAGGAATAGTGCCCCATCATTGGTATCAGTGGAAGGAATAGTGCCCCATCATTGGTGTCAGTGGGAGGAATTGTGCCCCATCATTGGTGTCAGTGGGAGGAATTGTGCCCCATCATTGGTGTCAGTGGGAGGAATAGTGCCCCATCATTGGTGTCAGTGGGAGGAATAGTGCCCCATCATTGGTATCAGTGGGGAGGAGGAATAGTGCCCCATCATTGGTGTCAGTGGGAGGAATAGTGCCCCATCATTGGTGTCAGTGGGAGGAATAGTGCCCCATGGTTGGTGTCAGTGGGAGGACTAGTGCCCCATGGTTGGTGTCAGTGGGGAGGAGGAATAGTGCCCCATGGTTGGTGTCAGTGGGGAGGAGGAATAGTGCCCCATGGTTGGTGTCAGTGGGAGGAATAGTGCCCCATGGTTGGTGTCAGTGGGAGGAATAGTGCCCCATGGTTGGTGTCAGTGGGGAGGAGGAATAGTGCCCCATGGTTGGTGTCAGTGGGGAGGAGGAATAGTGCCCCATCATTGGTGTCAGTGGGGAGAATAGTGCCCCATCATTGGTGTCAGTGGGAGGAATAGTGCCCCATCATTGGTGTCAGTGGGGGAGGAGGAATAGTGCCCCATCATTGGTGTCAGTGGGGGAGGAGGAATAGTGCCCCATCATTGGTGTCAGTGGGGAGGAGGAATAGTGCCCCATCGTTAGTGGGGTAGAGAAGCGGCTGCTCCTTTCAGTTCGGCAGCTTGATTTTCGCGGGGCCGTTCGGCTCCGCCTCCTCGCCGGTGATTGGTCGCCTGTGTGCGCTGGCGCCCAATCACCGGTGAGGAGGCGGAGCCGAGTAGCCGCGCGACCATCGAGCGGCCGAACTGAAATAAGGAGCAGCCGCGCTTCCTGGACCGGATCGTCGTGGGACCGGGACCGGAGCCAGGTAAGGTACAGCAGACCCTCTGCCCACCCCTGTACTTAAGTGTCCGTTGGAGGAGGAGGGGGGGGCGGGGCGCCACCCCTCGAAAAAGTGCCGCCCTGACACCGACTCGCCGTATACCGGCGTATAAGACGACCCCCGACTTTTCAGAAGATTTTCACGGGTTGAAAAGTCGTCTTATACGCCGGCAAATACGGTACTTACTAAATGGTACATGGTTCCTATGCGTTTAGCTAAAATGTTTCCCTCCGCTTCTCCCCTTTGCTTTAGGTGATGTGGCATGACTGGAATCATGTTTCATATCTGGTGGGAATGTCCACGGCTGAGAGGCTTTTGGAATGACATCTTTGCTATGTTGCGGAAAGTTACGGGGCCACCCATTCCTCAGACACCTTCTCTGGCTCTACTTAATGCATTAGTGGAGGATGTTCCTTGACATTTACAACGCTTGATTTTCTATGTTCTATTGTGTGCAGAGATGACCACTACTAGAGCTGGGAAGCAACCTTCAGTCTCTGTGACCCAGGCGAAGAAGAAATCACCTGGATTATGCTGCAGGAAAACGCTGTTAGTATGCTTCATGATACAGTGGGCTGAATATATGAATGTTGCGTTATGATTTCTCTCCGTGGGTGTAGGGGGTATGCGCCACCTTAACATCCTACTCCGGACCTGTCTTTCTGATCCGTTTTCCTTTCCCCTCTTTTTTCCCTTTCTTTTCTGGTAGTCTGTTACCAGTTTCTAATGGTCCAATGGATATCTCAGGCTGTCGCTTGGGGTTTCTTGTGCTAGGTGTTTGTGGAAGGGAACTCTGCGATACATGGGGGATGTTGACTATCACCCTCCCTATTTTGTTCCTGGTATTGGCTTTATTTGAGGTTCTCTGTTAAAGTTAGAAACGATCAGAATATGTGCATTCCTATGTATTCATTATCCTCCATTCTTTTATATTAGTCTATTTTAATACCAATGATAATTATATGTTTTGCTCTGTCAAAACTTCTATAAAAATCTATTGATAGTATTGAAAGTAAATAAAAAAAAACATTTAAAAAAAAGTAAATATGATATATTTATCCATTTACTAATGCTAGCAGCATAATGATTAAAAATAGTTCATATTGATTAAGAGTGAAGTTCCACTTTAAATAGAAAATGTTTGACAAAGTGAAGCACACTACAAGACCTCAAAAAGCAACACATTATTCCGCAATCTAAAGATATTCAAGAACAGATAAGAAACAAAGTAACTGACATGTATCAGTCTGGAAAGGTTACAAAGCCATTTCTAAGGCTTTGGGACTCCACAGAGCCACAGTGACAGCCAATATCCACACGGGAGAAAACAGTGGTGAACCTTCCCAGGAGTGGTCGGCCTATGAAAATTACTTTAAGAGCACAATAACTCATCCAGGAGGTCATAAAAGAAGCCAGAACAAGAACTCACTTGTCTCCATTAAGGTAAGTGTTCATGATTCAACAATAAGAAAGAGACCAGGCAAAAAAGGCATCCATGGGAGAGTTCCAAGGCAAAAGCCACTGCTGACCAAAAAGAACACAAAGGCTCGTCTCACATTTGCCAAAAAGCATCTTGATTATCCCCAAGACTTTTGGGCAAATATTCTGTGGACAGATGAGACAAAAGTTGAACATTTTGGAAGGTGTGCATTCCGTTACATCTGGCGTAAAACTACAGCATTTCATAAAAAGAACATCATGCCAAGTCAAACATGGCTGTGCTAGTGCAGTGGTCTGGGGCTGCTTTGCAGCTTCAGGACCTGGATGAATTGCCATAATTGATGGAACCATGAATTCTGTGCTCTACCAGAAAATCCTGAAAGAGAATGCTCGGCTATCAGTTTGTGATCTGAAACATACCAGCAAGTCCACCTCTGAATGGCTAAGGTGTTGGAGTGGCCTAGTCAAAGTTCGGACTTCTGGCTGAGATGCTGTGACATGACCTTAAACAGGCCGTTCATGCTCCAACACCCTCCAATGTGCCTGAATTAAAACAATTCTGCAAAGAAGAGCGGGCCAAAATTCCTCCACATCGATGGGAAAGACTCAATGCAAGTTATTGCAAACGCTTGATTGCAGTTGTTGTCGTCAAGGGTGACAGCCAGTTATTAGTTTTAGGGGGCAATTACTGTTTCACATAGGGTCAGGCAGGTTTGGATGTTTTTCCCTTAATAAATAAAATCATAATTTAAAAGCTGCATTTTGAATTTACCTGGGTTATCTTTGTGCAATACTAAAATATGTTTGATGATCTGAATCATTAGGGTGTGACCAATATGAAAAAAATAAATAAATAAATAAATAAATCAGGAAGGGGGCAAATACTATACACACACACACACACACACACACACACACACACACACACAGACACAACAGGGCTGATTTACTAAAACTGGAGAGTGCAGCAAAATTTGGTGCAGCTGTGCATGGTAGTCAATCAGCTTGTTCAATTAAGCTTTGACAAAAAAAAAAAAAAAAAAAAAAAAAACTGGCAGCCGACAGGTTTTTATGCAAAGATGCACCAGATTTTGCACTCTCCAGGTTTTAGTAAACCAACTATATAGTGACTATTCAAGCAATGCTAGCAAACACCTCTCTCTAAATCACTGACCAGGTCTTTTTCCTTGGAATTTCTATTTCTTCTGCAGCTGTCAAAAAGAAAAGAAGCAGATACACATGAGTAGAAGACATAAGAATATACTGTATAAAAAAAAACAAAAAAACATTAAATAAATAATTATAAAAAAAAAAGTTTAAAGTGCCCCCGTCCTCCCGTAGTGGTGAGCGCATACATAGGCCATGCGCACATATGTAAATGGTGTTCAAACCACACACGTGAGGTATTGCCACGAACGTCAGAACAAGAGCAATAATTCTCGCACTAGACCTCCTCTAGCTTTACACTGCTAACCTGTAGAAATTTTTAAAGCATCACCCACGGAGATTTTTAAGAACAGCAGTTTCACACCATTCCATGAGCGTGCGCAATTTTAAAGCGTGACATGTTGGGTATCTATTTACTCGCCATAACATCCTCTTTCATATTTTACAAAAAAATTGGGACTTTTTTTTTTTTAATCAAAGTATATTTTTTTCCAAAAATATATATTCATTTTTAAAAACTGCACATTTCGGTTTTCAGCCAAGTGCATTTTGAATTTTTGTTATCGGTTTCGGCACCAGAATTTTCATTTCTGTGCACCACTACACAATACATATACACATTTTTTTTTTTTTTTTTTTAACTACACATTTTTTATTGATATTGACAATAAGAACAGTAAAAACACAGTAGACATGGTTGGTAATATCTTCTTTTTTTTAATTAATATAGCACATTTCAGCTAAGGGTGATGTCTGATGGATGATAGTACCATATATACAACTCCACAAATATACTGTAGATCTCACATCATGTGTTTGGAGTATGAGGAAACCAGAGTACTCACAGGAAACCGATACAGGCACAAGGAGAAAATTCAAACTCCATACAGGTAATGTCCTGCTTGCAAATCGAACTAAGGACCCCAATGCTGCAAGGCAAGAAGTGCTAACCAATAATTTGTTCAGAAGGTACATATGGGGATATTTATAAGGCTTCCTAGATCTACAATGGATATAAATAGTCTACCACCTCTGTTAAAATGTCAGGTTTCTGTGATTTAAAAAAAATGAGACAAAAGATAAAACATTTGTCCGTTCAGATCAAATCCAATTTTGAAATCATGCGACTTACAGTGAACTTCTGAACTCAGCTACATCCCCAGTTTTAAGAAGGTGTGCACACTTATGCAACCACATTATATTAGTTTTTTACGTTTACTCCCCCCCTCCCCCTAAAAGATTTCAGTTTGTTTTTCAATTGAGTTGTACAGTTTATAGGTCACATTAAAGGTGGAAAATGTTCTGAAATTATTTTTCTTTGTCTCATTTTTTACATCACAGAAACCTGGCATTTTAACAGGGGTGTGTGGACTTTTTATATCCACTGTAACTGGCAAATTCCTGGACTATGTATGGCATATTTCCCAAACAATAATGATCTGTTTAGATGCTGTTTAGGTTGGAGAAAAAAAATCCACTTTCATCATTATAGCATTTGCTGGAGCAGTGGCATCCCTAGGCGGGTGTGGGGGGGTGCGCGCCGCACCGGGTGACACCTATCGCACGAGGTGACACCGGACCCTCTCCACGAAAAAGAAGGTTTTAAAGCAAGCCGACAATGCCCGCAAGATGGATCGTATCTGCGGATTGAGCATAATGGATCAGAGTCCAATCCATTATGCTCCCAAATGTGCAGATCCAATCCATCTTGCGGGGATCGTCGGCTTGCAACCTATATGGGGTTAACTGATCAAGGTAAGGCTGTGGAAGATCTGGGACTTGTCTGTAACCAGGAAAAGCGGCCACGATAGCAGGAACCTCCTCCATCTGACATAATTTCTCGAGCATGTGCAGACCGGACCGGTGTTGAAAGATCAGTTAACCCCGTACAGGTTGCAAGCCGACAATCCCCGCAAGATGGATCGGATCTGCGGATTGGGGAGCATAATGGATCGGACTTCGATCCATTATGCTCAATTTGCAGATCCGATCCATCCTGCGGGGATTGTCAGAGGGGTGACACCAAGTGTTACCGCACCGGGTGACACCAACACTAGGGACGCTCCTGTGCTGGAGTCTATAGTCACTGTTTTTTTTTTTTATTAGCACAGTGGCTAAATGGTTAGCACTTCCGCCTGGCAGTACTAGGGTTCGAATCCCAGCCACGGCACCACCTGCCTGGAGTTTTCATGTCCTCCCTGTGACTGCGTGGGTTTCCTCTGGGTACTCCGGTTACCTCCCACACTCCAAAGACATGCTGGTAGGTTAATTGGCTCCTGTCTAAAAAATTGTCCCTAGTATGTGTATGTAAAAATGTGAGTTAGGGACTTTCGACTGTACGCCCCTTGAGGGTTAGGGACTGATGTGAATGTACAATATATGTATGTAAAGTGCTGTGTAAATTGACGGAGCTATATAAGTACCTGAAATAAATAAAATATTTCCTCCCTGTATGATCCTAAAGTTTAGCAAAGAATTAGCAATCAGATTTCTCACATCTGGACATTATGCCCCATGCTCAACAAAAGGCGCTAGCTAAAGCTCAAATATCCTAAAATATTAGTCCAGCTCTATCAATGGCTATCGTCCTATGCATGACAGGTACACTTTAAAAGTGACATACTAAGAAAACATAAAAAAGCACAAATAGTCCACTTATTCATCCATTCTGGCAGGAATAAATAAAATATTGCTTCATCATACCCCCATTCCTAGTATGTCCTATATTTTTCCCTAGCTAAGCATATGATCATTAGCAATTTCCTGTGCTGTGGGGCTCCACTCACCCCCCAACTATGCGATTGGCTCAATCGGTAGGCAGAGTGGCTGGAGGAACTGATTGCGACTACTTGACATGCCATGTTTGGGCCTGCTGGACCCACTTTGTTACTACCCCTGAATTCAATCTCTCAATACCTGATTGAGATACGGTTCGTTCAAATCTGCGTGGTTATGACATTTGCCTGCTTAAGTGTTTAAGTACCTCATTTATGAAATATAATTAGTCGCAGCGCTTCCTTGCTTCGCCCCCCCCCCCCCCCCCCCCCACCCCCCTTTTTTTTTTTTTTTTTTTTTTGTTTTTCTATCAAAGTTTTTTTTTTTTTTTTTTTTTTTTTCTCTTTCTTCCTCTTTCTCTCCTCACTATGACTCCCATTCTTTTCCTTTTCTTGTCCTTTGTCTTCGTCTCCTTCAGGAATACTTGGTATATGGTTACATCTCCTCTAGGGTAGTCAATGGTACTCACGACATCTATACTGCGATGCTATGATAGCGTAGCTGCTTTTGGTTTAAAAGGTTCAATGCATAGGCCAGTACGCTAAAAAGTAAGCTGTGATTACCTTCTATATTGCAGTACAAGGCCTATCTCTGCCGTACCTTGACATGCTTATGTTTTTCACAGTGTCGCACTCTACCATGTTGTTTCGTCTTAAAATGTGAACTGAAAATAAACTTTTATAATAAAAAAAAAAAAAGCACAAATAAAGTGTTAAGGAAACTGAAAATAGACACCTACCTGCAGCGGCTTGGTGGCTACGGCTTGTACATAGGAACCTAGAGAGAGCAACAAATAAGTATATTATAAAAAGGTGCAAATTTAAAATTTACAAATATTTATTATTCATGAACTCAGTACAGTTTTATGTTAGATTTAGGTCTTGTTCACATAGGTGCGGATACCTGTATACAAAGAATGAGCTGTGTGTTTATGAGTCCCTAGCTGGTAGGTGCTGTCAAGGCTATGAGGCTGCAGCAGCTGCATCCTCATACAAAGAAGAGAAGGGGTCTTCCTTCCCCACGGGTACAATGCGTCATTCAATTATACCGGCTGCCGTACCCTCGAAGTTCACGCACATATATGAACCTAGGCTTAATGATATGATACTGTTCACATCTGTGCGCTGTGCTTTTGAAAAGTCCTGCTTGCTGCATCTTCAGTGTGTTCTCTTATAAACGCACCTTCCTTTATAGTCAATGGCAGCGATCCAAAAACGCAACACACATTTTCTATTAGTGCATCTTTTTGAGTTACGTGTCCATTTTTGCCAGTTGACCGAGGGAGGAAAACACATGCAAAATGCACTATACCTCAGTGCCCATGAGAATGCATTGAAAATGCGATAAAAAAACAGAACACCTCAAAAAAAAAAAAAAAGGCATATTGTGTTATCTAATGCACAGTGGGGAACGGGCCCTATATCTAGGTTCACAAATGTGCAGGTTGGGAATGCATGTACTGTGGATTTAGAAAGAATCCCATTTTGTTGCTTTGCAGCCTGAAATGAAGACAGACACAGTTTTTGTTTTATCCATCTGTTTTTACTCTTATTGCTTATAACATCTAAGTAAAAGATATAATGCCAACATGTCAAACTTTTTTTAAAAAGTCAGCATGGGGCCTGATTTACTCTTGCAACCTATACCATCCAAGTGAAATGTGATTATTTTAAGGGGGGGGGGGGGGGTGATTATTTTTCATATCCACGTGTGTTGCAGACCACCACAGAAACCTGCTACTCTTTAGCAGACACATGGGGGTAGATTTACTAAAACTGGTTCACTCAGAATCTAGTGCAGCTTTGCACGGTAGCCAATCAGCTTCTAACCTCAGCTTGTTCAGTTAAGCTTTGGCAATAAAACCTGGAAGCTGATTGGTTTCTATGCAGAAATGCATCTAATTTTGTACTCTCCAGCTTTAGTAAATAAACTCCATGGGGTCCCCCGCGCCTGAAACCATACGGAGCATTTTTAAAAAGGGCCGGGGGCAAATTACATCATGCACATAGAGGACCTCACCTCATCCCTAAGAGACCGGAAGCACGTTTCCGCAAGATGTGGTACCGTGGTCTGCTTGTATCGAACTCCATGTGACTGGATCAGTGTGGGTCTAGGAAGGTCTGAATGGGTCGTTTCCCACCTTTAAATTTTATTCTTACATCTTTCCTAGCTACCTCTTCCCTCCTTACCTTTCTCTTTCTTCTCACCCTGAGCTTCTCTGACATATACATAAAACCCCTTTGGACTAGATAAGTGATACTAAAAAGATATATATATAGATTTTTTTTTTTTTTTAAATAACATATTATACTTACCTGCTCTGTGTAGTGGTTTTGCACAGAGCAGCCCCGATCCTTCTCTTATTGGGTCCCCCACTGGCACTCCTGGACCTTCCCTCCTGTCGGGTGCCCCCATAGCAAGCAGCTTGCTATGGGGGCACCCAAGCAGGCGTGCTCCCGAACCGCTGCTCCGCGTGTCTATTAAGACACGTAGCTACAGCTCAGCCCCGCCCCCTCTCTCCTCATTTGCTCAATGACTGATTGACAGCAGCAGGAGCCAATGGTTCCCTCTGCTCAGCCAATGAGAAGACCAAGTCCCGGGATAGTCGAGACTCCAGTGCACATCTCTGGATCGAGCGGGGGCGTAGCTGAGTATTTGGGGGCATGCTGCATAGAGAAGGTTTTTTTAAACCTTCATGCATAGAATGCATGAAAGTAAAAAAATATTTGGCCTTTACAACCACTTTAATCTAGCATCCATCTGCCTTTACCTACCTTGTTATAATGACGAGGGTCATCCTGTAGTTGGAGAATTCAGGTATCCCCTTCTTACCTCATACCGATTTGCTGTCTGTTTTACAGACTAGCCACTTTTGTTCAATAATCTATCAGGTTTCTTGGATTAATTTTCATTCCTATGTTTGACTAGATGTAATCTAACATTTTAACCCCTTCCTGTCAACCATACGCATATATGTGGCCTAAAGGAAGTGGGTCTTTATCTGTGAGACCGCATATATCTCTTTGTGCTTGGAGCGCGCCCCCATCACAGGGACCCTGGGCTCTCACTGAGTACTAATGATCAGGACCTGGAACTTCTGATCACTGAGAAAGCCTCTGATTGGCTATCACAGTGATCAGTCACTGTGAGCCCACCCATGTATTTACTTCCACTTCTGAATGAAGGTAACGATACATTGAGAAAAGAAAATAATGAAAAGAAGGAAAAGAATCAAGGTTTGCCAGGGTTGGGTTAGTGTTGGGGTCAAGGCAAGGGTTAAAAGGCCACAGTCAGTATATTTGAGGAATAAGTTAAAAAACAAACAAACAAAAAAAAAAAAAACACCTTAAAATTAGTATCAGTGTGTTTTAGGCAGGTTAAAAAAAATACAAAAACAAGCACCATTGCTTCTGGGCCCTACTAACATACACATATGTGGTATCGCTGCGATCATCAGGAGCAGGAGAAATTATTTTGGGTTGTTCTTTAGTTGTAAATGATGGTAAAAGCAAGAAATATGCAGCTAAATTTAAAAATGTGTTCTTTTGATAATACAAACAAACAAAAAATCTGTCCCGACAAATACAAGGTATAATCCACCTGGATGCACAAAGTAGTTGCAATGATATGTACGGTTTTACTAACACATGTCAAAGTTGCAAAATGGTGCTTGGGCATTAACATTTGTATCACCCTCAGGCACTAAGGGGTTAAAGTGGCTGTAAAGGCTGAAGGTTTTTTTTACCTTACTGCATTCTATGTATGAAGGTAAAAAACATTCTGTGTGCTGCTCCTCCCCCCAATACTTACCTGAGCCCCCTCTCGATCCAGCGATGTGAACAGGAGCCTTGGCTGTCCCAGGACTCCCTCTCCTCAATGGCTGAGATGGCAGCGGGAGCCAATGGGGTGAGAGCAGGGGCGGGGCTGAGCTGCAGCTCTGTCTTATGGAAGCATAGAGCCGGGCTTGACAGCAAGCATGCACCAGTGCCTTCCCCCCCCCAATACTTACCAGAGCCCCCTCTCGATCCAGCGATGTGAACAGGAGCCTTGGCTGTCCCGGAACTCCCTCTCCTCAATGGCTGAGACAGCAGCGGGAGCCAATGAGGCGAGAGCAGGGGCAGGGCTGAACGTCAGCTCTGTGTCTTATGGAAGCATAGAGCCAGGCTTGACAGCAAGATTGCACCAGTGCGCGAGCCCGCACGCACGCACACACACACACCAAGCGGCTTGCTATTGGGTGGCACTGGTCAAGGGGGAGGGGCCAGGAGCGCAGCGGGGAACCCGAAAAGAAGAGGATCGGGGCTACTCTATGTAAAACCACTGCGCAGAGCTGGTAAGTATGTTTGTTTTTTTTTTTATTTTAAAAACTAAACCTTTACTACCACTTTATGTTGCATTGGAGTGGCATCTAGGGTTTGTTTTTCCTGTTGAATTGGATATTTTGTCACTGAAAATAAAGAACAAAAAAAAGAGGGTTGAGGACTTCTTTCCCGACGGTTCTCATGAGTACAATAGCCCATTCAAATAAATGGAAACTCATACAAATGAGCGCAGAGAGGCCACTCCAGGTGGAAACATGTGAACAGTTAATTATGAGCTCACCACTGCTGCCTTGTTAATAATTTGCATGATGAAGACAACTGAAAAGAATAGGCGCTGTGGAAAATGCTCTCAGTCAAGCACCTTAATGAAGGTGCATCTTTATTGGGTGAGACAAAGTAGCAAATATAATAAAATTTGACCAGCCTGAAGTGAACAGTGTGACTCCAATGGACGGCCCGTCCGTTCTGAAGGGAGCTGAGATTGGAGAACGCTCCTGTTGGCTTCAAATCACGTGGTGTTAGCGTACCGGCGCCCCGGGGGGTGTCACCATGGCAAGCGAAGGCAGTGTCCGGCGTTGGCTTCAGCTGGGAGCGTGTGTAGGGTTACCAAGAAGATATGTTTTGCGCAGTTGCACTTTGTCAAGTCTCTGGTAGCCCTGGCCGGCGGCCATTATATAGAAGACCATTAAAGGGAAGGCTGGCTGAGTGTAATTAGCAGGGGATGGGGTGTCAACCAGAGCGGACGGCTTGTCCCGAAGCAATGCTGAATACAAATTTAAAAGTACAAATTGCAAATTATAGAAAGTGGTGCCAAGTAATGGAGTGATATCAATAAGAACACTAGTGGAAAACATGACATACTTTCATCTTTATTATTTTATTGTATTATTACATTAATTCTGCTAAAGGAAAAACTTTCTTGTGAGAGAACTCTAAGTTAAAAATGACATCGCTGGTACATGGAAGCTATGTAAAAAAATGCATTTATAGTGAGGTAATTTTGGGTATATTGGCAAAGAAGGGGGGGGGGGGGGGAGCTTGGCATATGAAGATAAAAATAACTGTATAAAAGGTACTGCTAAGAGAAATATAGTAAAATCAATATGGGTATCAAGTTAGGTAGCTCATATGTTCATAACCAAGTAAACGCAATAGATGCGTAGTAACATGTATTCATAATTGAGTGAACACAATATATACATGGTAACAGTGAAAGTTAAAAAACAAGTGTGAAAAGAAGACAATGTATATAAAATAAATATCAGTACATAACCATAAATAATGCTTAGCGGGGAGAAAAAAAAATAAAACAACCAACACAGGAGGATCCTACTTCCGGGGACTATAAGTCATACTTGTTAGATAATGCTATGAATTTCAAGATCCTCACTGAGACCATTGGGGGTCATAGAACCTAACTTGTAGATCCAGAACATCTCTCTCCTACATAAACGG